TGTGAATCAAATTTCGTCCCTTTATTGGCGACGTTCTTACGTCTCGTGTGAAGTCTTGTCAATTTTTTTGTTTAACTTAATTTTATGGACGTTTTCAAGCGTATAATTCAATGATAATTGAGATGACACTTTTTTACGTCGTGAATATAGATCATTGAAGTTGTGTTGTTCCTTGGCCAAGTTGCATTTTGTGCTAAAATGATGATAGTAGCAAAGGAAACGTTAGCTTTCAAAGCAAACTCGGAATTCTGTCTCGTGACTATACAAATCAACCGTTTGCAGTTTTCCAGGTTAAACTCAACACTAGTTCCAAGTTGACGCAGCAATGTCATACGCCTATCTATTCAAGTATATCATCATTGGTGATACGGGTCAGTCAGTTATTTTATTTTCATTTGTTTCGATTTTCATCCTGACCCTTGATTATTATGTTTGTTTGATTTTATATCGATTTTATTTGCATCATTTTTTGCATCGTTATTAATATTCATGTGATTGTTATGAATATTCGGTATTGTTGAAGTTCTATCGATGAGAATTTGCGGTTTGCATTTGCATTTAAAGTGGGCCATGAATCATTAGCAAACCATTATTCTTGTCATAATTCTGCTCGTTATGTTCGCATTATTTTTGTTATCAGCATAAGTAATCGCGTATCATGATCGCATATAGTATGATAATTGCATTGCAATTTCTATGTTTTTATTGCTGCTCATGGAAGATTTCGAAATGAATGCAAACGTCACCCAGTAGGAGTCTTTTATGCATGACATGTCGTGTCACATTGCTTTTTGATCCTTTCAAATGGAGCATGTCTCCATAGCTTCTAATGCTGCTATTCATATGTAATTAACCGTCGTTAGTGCTCTGATAGTAGTAGTCCGATAATGAGATTCCACGGGAAGCTTATTGATGTCAGCAGAAGAAAACGAAGACGTTTGATCCGTCAAATGAGAGCTCTATAATAAAGTTAGTCATGGATTTTTCCATCTATAATAAAACCAATAATAATTTCAGGTGTTGGCAAATCATGTTTATTATTACAGTTTACCGATAAGCGTTTCCAGCCAGTTCACGATCTTACAATTGGTTTGTTTTTGTGTTTTGTTGCTTACTTACTTCTTACTTTAGAAATTGATGGTTGAGAGTGTTCATGTTTTAGAGACAATCGAATTTTCGCTGTATATAAATCGGCTAAATTACTAATGAATTGTTTGTTCGGTTTTCAATTCGAGTTGATTGAATAGTAGATGAAAATTTTTCATCATATTTTTATCGCTTAGAATGTGCGCATGCATATGTATGTGTACTGCTGCTGTTAACTGTTCTTTAGGAGAACTAATTTTTTAATTGTAACATTCTCATTAAGAAATATATTCATACACATACGCTCCT